GTCTAAAGACAGCACGGCTCTCTCCCTCTTAAATCGCTGCGTGAATCCCTACTCGTTCGTTTCGTCTTAACGTGCGGATCAAAGTTATTTATAATTTAAGTGTGCTACTTAGCGAGGGGTCCGAAAACTTCCGGTCGTGCTCCGCTCGCGATCGTTCGCCTGCCGCGCGTTCAAGATTTCCGTTCGACGCGTACAAGATCTCCGCTACGCGAGAGGCTTCGATGCGAGAAGTTGAGACAAGATTTCCGTTCGCGATATCTGGCAGAAAAGTACGAACGACTCAGAAGATTTCCGAATCCGCGGCGCACGATCCGTTGTTCCCCCTCGCGTCCTTCCCGTTCTTGAAATAAAGACTATATATTTCTTTGTGCAATCTGTGTTACGAGTGCTTTAATCCTCATTCCTCCCGCGAATTTACGACTCGCGTTATCCACGCTTTTCGCTCAACTCTGAGCGGAATCCAGATTCAGGGCGACCGTCGTAAAGCGACGCCCGAACAGCTTTCGAGAAACTTTAACGTTGTTATCGATAATAAAGTCAAACAACAACGCTAGAACAAAGGAACGATCCATGCTATACACAAAGCACTCGAAAACAGGTGACGATCCCGTCGGGTCGCCACGTGAAACCGGTGACGTCGGCTCCATGACGCGGGACTCCGACGGCCAATCACCCTCCCAAAATTCTGGGAAATCTGCAGGGAGGGAGTTTTGCCTCGGAGGTGTTAAAAGGACAGCCGCTGCGCCGCGGAACCGATTTCTCGCTCGTAGATCACCCGCTAAAGTATATCGTATACGACCGCTTGTACTTCAACCGCATTTTCGCATTCGCGTAACCGCTCGCCGCTCTTGCCGTGCTAACCATTGTGCGCGCTCACGGCTTTTTCCTTTACTGGAAATATTGAAACTTTGGGAACATTATATATTTTATTTTATTTGTACTTGCTATCTCTTTACTTGTGGTCGTCTTTCACCTCGCGCTATCTCGCGCTACCGCGCGCTCTCGAACATTTTTGGTCCTTCGAGCCGGATCCTACCGGCAACCGCGAACTCGGGAGTGCCTTCTCAACGAAGACGATCATGAGTCTGGACCAGAGCTCCATGCTGAGCGGCCAACACGAGCTCTTCGGACGTATCTCCAGAGCCGTCGAAAACCTGAGGAAGATGGGTCAGGCGAACATCACCCTCTCGACCGTTGAGCACCGCATCCGCATCCTTGATGACCTGTGGGCAAAGTTCGAGAGTCAGCACGACTTAATTCGAGCCTGCTATAAGGACCTCTACGCTGAGAGTGAGTACGCCAAGTCCGATTTACTTACCAACGCCGAGATTGCTTACGTGCATCAGCGTGGCGTTTTGTCCGATCAGGCGAAATGGCTCCAGCCTGCGCCAGCTTCCACGCCTCCCGCGGCATCAGAGCAGGGGGGCGACCGCGCGTCAAGAACTTCGCTGCCCCGTATCCAATTACGGGAATTTTCGGGTTCCTACGAGGACTGGCCATCCTTCCGTGATCTTTTTAAGGCTGTGTTTCGATATTCACTGTAAGTACTGACGATATGACGTCATTGAGTAGAACTGCAGGAGCGTTTCTATATTGCTGCTGTTACTTTCAGGCTGGAATAACGGAACGACGACCACAGTACTGCCAGTACTGCCAGTGAATGTCGAAACGCACCCGTATAAGAAAGAAATATAACTTAACTTAACCTATCTTAGACACGACGTGACACGACGATAGGAGCACCTATTCTAAATATATAAAAAAGAATCTTGTACTTAAACAATAATGTTGCAAAAGTCATGTCTATAAAATAAATAACAGTTTTCAGATTTATAAAAATATCGAAATTATTTATTATTATATTAATTATATTAATTTAGTAGTAGTAGTAGTAATCTTTTCGGGCTTTTTCCGCATCTTCGTAACTAACGATTATTGTATATTTCTTGTTGTTGCCTTCCAGATCCACAGGACCAAACCTATGTGAACCTGGCACCCGACTTCCGAAAAATTAATTTTTTTACAGAAAACGTTAGCATTTTGTTTGTAGTTGTTTGTAATAACAAAAATTTCGTTTGTAGTTTAATACATTAAAAATGATAAAAATTAAAAAAATTACTCGCACCCCACTTTGAGATATCTCAAATCCGTTTGCGCCATCTTCTTTAGAATCATTTGTAGTTGTTTGTAGTGCTTTTCTTTTTGTTTATAGTTGCACCATTCAAAAGTTATTATATTTTTGCAATAAACAAAAAGAGTAACTTTAATTTGTGACATTGTGGCTACACCTATATTTCGCCGGCAAAAAGCAGTCAATGCCGTTCTTGAACACAAATTTGTTGCTCATCGTGATTTAGGAACTATGCTGCCAATTTTGGAGATATCTCAAATCCGCTTGCGCCATCTTCTTCAGAATCATTTGTAGTGCTTTTCTTTTTATTGTTTATAGTTGCACCATTCAAAAGTTATTATATTTTTGCAATAAACAAAAAGAGTAACTTTACCAATTTTGGAGATATTTCAAATCCGCTTGCGCCATCTTCTTCAGAATCATTTGTAGTTGTTTGTAGTGCTTTTCTTTTTGTTTATAGTTGCACCATTCAAAAGTTATTATATTTTTGTAATAAACAAAAAGTGTAACTTTGCCAATTTTGGAGATATCTCAAATCCGTTTGCGCCATCTTCGTCAGAATTATTTGTAGTTGTTTGTAGTGATTTTTTTTTTGTTTGTATTTGCACCGTTTTATATATATCTAGTTATGATATTTTTGCAATATACCAGAAGTGTAACTTTGCCAATTTTGGAAATATTTTAAAACTAATTGCGCGACTTGATGTAGAATTGTTTGTAGTTGTTTGTAATAGTTTTTGTTCCGTATCGTTTAAAATATCTCCAAAATTGTCTCTCAAAATTCTTTTTTTGTTTATTGCAAAAATATAATAACTTTTGAATGGTGCAACTATAAACAAAAAGAAAAGCACTACAAACACCTACAAATAATTCTGAAAAAGATAGCGCAAGCGGATTTGAGATATCTCCAAAAATGGCAAAATTACTCTTTTTGTTTATTGCAAAAATATAATAACTTTTAACAGTGCAACTACAAACGAAAAGAAAAGCACTACAAATAACTACAAATGATTCCGAAGAAGATGGCGCAAGCGGATTTGAGATATCTTCAAAGTTGGCAAAGTTACACTTTTTGTTTATTGCAAAAATATAATAACTTTTGAATAGTGCAACTATAAACAAAAAGAAAAGCACTACAAATGATTTTGAAGAAGATGGCGCAAGCTGATTTGAGATATCTCTAAAATTGGCAAAGTTACTCTTTTTGTTTATTGCAAAAATATAATAACTTTTGAACAGTGCAACTACAAACGAAAAGAAAAGCACTACAAACAACTACAAACAATTTTGAAGAAGATGGCGCAAGCGGATTTGAGTTATCTCAAAGTGGGGTGCGAGTAATTTTTTAAATGTTTATAATTTTTAATATACTAAACTATAAACGAAATTTTTGTTACTACAAACAACTACAAACTAAATGCTAACGTTTTCCGTAAAAAAATTAATTTTTCGAAAGTCGGGTGCAAGGTTCACACATAGGTAAGGACCAATTTTTTCAAAGATGCCGCCATAGCCGCCATGTTCTTACTGCGAATGCCTCACCTCGCGAGCCGCAGTAATGAAAGTAGGGAGTGACGACAAAATCTATGACGTCACATGAACACGAAAACGCTTTGACAGCTTACTGCCGCGTATATTGGAACGGATTTACAGTGCTGCCAGTACTGCGAGTGAATAGCGAAACGCACCCTAAGTCAGTGATCGGTGAGCAGTCGTCCATCTCGAAAGTCGAACAGCTGCACTATCTGCGTTCATGCCTCAAGGGGCCGGCTGAAAACGTAATAAAATCATTAACTATTACGGGCGAAAATTACGATCGTGTGTGGGAGCTGCTCTGCCAGCACTACGAAAATAAGAGGGAGCTGATACGCTCCAACTTCGCCACGTTTACCGCCGTGGCGAAGATGAAAGCCGCTACTGGCGACGAACTCAGCCGCGTCCAGAACGCTGTCACGTCCGCCGTCGCAATGCGCAAGAGAGTATCGGGAGGCCCATCAACTCGCACGGCATGGACCTTTTTAATCACCTCGTAGTCGAACTGTTCGACCCGCGAACGCGTCTGGAATGGGAGTCCTCCTCGGGAGACTCCTTCGAACCGCCGACTCACGCTACGCTGATGACTTTCATCAACAAACGGATCCTCACGCTGAACGCAGCGAATCCGAAGACCACTAAACCCGCGAGTGAACAATCACGGTCCGCGAAAACTCACGTCGCGAAGCGTTCCGAGCCTTCTCAATGTCCGCTCTGCAAGGGGAAGCACTCGCTCATGGGGTGCCCCGACTTCAAGGCCAAGGTGGCCAGCGAGAGAAAGACAGTGGTCGAGACTAATAAGCTCTGGTTCAACTGTCTCGGCAATCATCAGGTGGCGGGCGAAGTGCAAGTCAACCCGGAACTGCTTCACGTGCAACGCGCGGCACCACTCGATGTTGCACGACGCGTACGTTTCCGCAACGGCACCCCACGCGGAAGTCAGCACGCTTTCCACCGTCGGAAGGGCCGACGACAGTAAGGCGATTCTTCTCGCGACCGCGCGCGTGACTATCGCCGATCGGCACGGAGATCCTCATGAGGTTCGGGTGCTCATCGACCAGGGCTCCGAAGTGTCGATCGTGTCGGAGTCCCTGGTGCAGCGACTACGCCTGCCGCGATCGCGCACGCGAGTGTCTATCTTCGGCATCGGCGGCTCCCAGTCGGGCTCCACGCGAGGCAAGGTGTCCCTGACCATCAAGTCGAAGACCACCGGAGCCACACTCACCGCCGTCGCGTTCGTGCTTCCGCGTCTCTCGCTCTACCAGGGCGCCGCGAATAAGTGCCGCACCTCGTGGCCTCACCTACGAGGGCTTCCTCTGGCCGACCCTCGTTTCGCCGCCAACGACCCAGTCGAGCTGCTACTGGGCGCCGAGGTGTGCTTGACCATCCTGGAGGATGGTCTCCGCCGAGGCGAACCGCAAACGCCGATCGCTCAGAAAACCATCCTGGGATGGATTCTTTCAGGGGGCTGTGGTGCGACCCTCCACTGTCACCACAGCTCACTCCAGTGTACCGCCGACCATGACTTGGCCGAGCTGGTACGCCGTTTTTGGGAGCAAGAGAGCGAGCCTCCCGCTTCCGTCACGCTCACTCCCGAGGAAGAGGAGTGCGAGCAACATTTTGTACGCACCCACGAGCGCACACCCGCTGGCCGGTACGTTGTCCGACTGCCGTTTGCCTCGACGCCGAAGCACCTCGCCGAGACCCGCAAGCCCGCTGAGCGACTGCTCACGGCCATGGAACGCAAGTGCGCCCGAGATTTTCGGTTCGGAGAACTCTACCGCTCGTTTATGCTTAAGTACGAGGACCTCGGGCACTTGGAAGCCGTAGCACCGTCAGACGCGGCGTGTGCTACCTGCCACACCACAGCGTGTTGAAGGAAGCCAGCACTACCACCAAACTGCGCGTAGTGTTTAATGGCTCGCAACGCACCAGCTCCGGAGACTCGCTCAACGACCACCTCTTCGCAGGCGCAAATCTCCTGCCGGCACTTGCTGACGTGCTCTTGCGTTGGCGTCGGCACCGCTACGTGATGATCACAGACATCGAGAAGATGTATCGCCAGATCATCTTCCACCCGGAAGATCGTGACCACCAGCGGATCCTGTGGCGAAGTGCCGTCGAACAACTCGTGCGAGTTCTCCGCCTGACGACGGTCACTTATGGCCTCACGTGCTCACTGTGGGTCGCGATTTGCACGCTATTGCAACTCGCCAAAGACGAAGGGACTCGGTTTCCGCGCGGCGCGATTGCTCTCGAGGACGACAGATACGTGGACGATGTCGTGACCGGAGAGGACACTATCGACGACGCGGTCGCCGTGCAAACCGAACTGCGCGAACTCTGCACGGCGGGCGGGTTTCCGTTACGCAAGTGGGCCGCGAACTCCGAGGACGTTCTCGTCGACATCCCGCAGGAGCACCGCCTTAAACGCGCCCTCCACGTGTGGGAAACAGACGGTCACTCCACTCTCGGCCTCCGCTGGCACCCGACGGAAGACGAATTTTCCTTCGCGATTCATTCGCGCACAATCACCGTGTTCACAAAGAGGCGCGTCCTCTCGGAAACCGCACGCTTATTTGATCCATTGGGGTGGCTCACCCCCGTTGTGATCCGAGCGAAAATCCTCATCCAGTCCACATGGCTGAAAGGGCTGGACTGGGACGCCCCTCTTCCGTCGGCCGACGCTCAACAATGGGGGAGCTTCCTGGAGGAGCTTCCGCGGCTTGAACTCGTTCGCGTGACCCGCTGGCTCGACAGCGGAGCAGATTCACGAGTCGAGATCCACGGTTTCGCCGACGCGTCCGAGCGAGGCTACGCCGCGGCCGTCTACCTCCGCGTCATGAGGAACGGTTCTGCTACACTGCACTTGCTCATGGCAAAGAGCAAGGTAGCCCCGATTCGGCAGGTGTCCCTCGCTCGACTCGAACTGTCCGCGGTGGATTATGCAGGCCCGATCCATATCCGCACGACCAAGGGGCGAGGACACCGAGCGCACAAAGCGTTCATCGCCGTCTTCGTGTGCCTCGTCACCAAAGCGGTGCACCT